GCAAAGCAATCGCCCTCCTTCTTGCACTCCCCGCACGCGGCAACCGTCGTCACGTCGGTGATGCCGTTCAGCTCCAGTTCTGCCGCCGTCGTCACCTTCCGTCCTGCGACCGTCAGGCACCCAGCAACGAACCGGTAGCCGGCGTCAGCCTGCGATAGCAGAGACTTATACAACCCCGTTGAGCCCATCCTGCAGCCCGTCAGCGTCACCACACTGTTGTCGTCGATGATCAAAGAGATGGATTCAGTTTCTTGAAGCATCGCACCCACTCCCACGTCGTTGTCGCGCCAATCCAACCAGCTTGACTGCTCAACGGTCCACAAGTCGTCTGCAAAAATGGCGTAGGACACGGTGCCGCTGTTCCCCACCACGCGCACCACGCTGTGATCCGACACGCTCAATCCGTGGTGCTGATACAGGAGGCTTTTTCCGGAGGCCATTGTGTTGTTGAGCAGCGCAAAAACAGAGTGATCACTCACACTGAGCCTGTACACGTAAAACAGGTGTTCGTATCCATCGAAGCTGCAGTACCGCGTGTAAAGCGAGCTGCCCTCCACCAGCGTCAGCGTCCCAATCGAGTACAAACCAAACGCATCACGCTTCGTTGCATGCGCATTGACATTGCTCACCAAAAGCGAGGACACGCTCAAAACAACGTTCTGTAGTACCACAACGCTCAGCATGTTCATCCTATTGTCGGGCAGCTGGACCTCGGAGGACTGCACCGCATCAACCTCCGTGATGGCGATGTCGCAGTGCTGCGGGAAGGCAAGTGCAAACACAACGACAGAGGACCGCATCACCGTCTGGCTCACGCGGATCAGGACGCCGGCTGACTCGACCGCCGCAACTTCCCCAACAAACTGCAGCACGGCACCCTCACGGAAAGTGCACCCAGTGAGCGTGATGTTGATGGCGAGATGCAGCGGCATACGATTGAGAAAGAACGTCGGCGTGGGTGCCACGCCGCTGAATGTCACACCCATGTAGCAGTGGTGCGACTTCCACATGTTCAGCATGAGGCTCGTCAGCGTCTGGTTCACAACGCAGCTCGTGTCGCCGTCAACGGCTCTCTCCGCTACGGGCGGCACAACCGTGTGGGGCACCTCGAAGGGAAGACACGACGCGCCACGCCATCCGTCCTTGCAGCTGCACGAGCACGAGCTGCGGTCCACCGACTCCGTTCCGGGCATGTAGCACGCCGCGTCCTCGTTGCATGTGCCATACCTGAAAAGCACCACTTCCTCCGGAAACACACCGTCGCACGACACCTCCTCATCGCCCTGCAGGTTGCACCCAACCAAAAACCGCGCGGGTGACGTAACGACAATGTTCGATGGTAAAAATTTGGCGAAAAAGCTCCTCGAGTCCGCCTGACGGTTGTTTGCAAGCACCACAGTGGTGCCGCTGCCCGACAGCCTCATTTTGTGCTTGGAATTAGGCATACCTATCACTGTGGCTGCGCTCACGCTGTTGTCCTCCACACGCCACTGCGCGCCTCCTTCGAGTGTCACCGAGCCCTCCAAGTACAAAGGCGCAGATTCAAAAAACTCCGCTCTGCTAGCAAAGGTGCAGTCCGCCACTCGCAGCAGCCCCGCGGAGCTCACATAGGTATCCCCAAAAAGATAAACGCCATTCACCGCATTCATCGTGTTGTTCTCCAGGTCAAGGTAGCCTCCGTTCCTCAAAGCAACGGCGTAAACGCAAACGGCTGATTCCATACCGCGATTCTCCCCCGTTACCCTCAGCGTGTTTCCCTTCACAATGATCCCGCCACCATCAACAGCAGCATTGGGAAAATAGACCGCGTAACTGTTCCCCTCAATGTTGTTGTCGAGTAGCAGCAGCGTCGAGTTCACCCCCCAAAAAAAATTCAAAAATAAAATGGCGTAAGACGACATCGTCACAAGCACACTGCCCACCACCAGTAACTGGGAACTCGCGCCAAAATCACCCTCAAACACCAAAGCGCCAGAATCCAAAATCGAGGATGTCACGTTCACGCGCACGCGTGCATCACTCCCCTTAATCAGCATGCTCATGAGGACGCACTGCAGCAGCGTGATGTTGAGTGTCTGTTGTGGCGCGTCAAAATACGACAGGTCCAGAAAAACCGCGGCGGTGAAGGTCACGCTGACAAAGCACAGACCACGCACACCGGGACCAGGATAATCCACGGAGCTGATGCTGCCACCGCGCACGCAGCGGACCTCCGTGTCGGTGGCATCGGGGAGCGGAAGCGGCCCAAGGCCGTCCGGAACAGCAGCTGGCAGACAAGTGCCACCGTAGCCGCCAGCAGCGCACACACACGCACAGCCGCTGATGCCACTCGTCCTCGCAGCGAAGCACACGGCGTCCACGGTGCACGCGCCACAGTCCAACACCCTCACGGGTGCTCCAATATTGAGGTCGTATTGGTAATCCGTCACAGGAGAGCCCCTTGCCTCGTTGCACATGCCGTAGATGGTCGGGCGCGTGTCGGATGGCGGTGACCAGTTGCTCGTCATACTTACAATTGTTGACGAGTACGAGCCGTACGTGAAGTTGTTGTCAAGTATCGACCACACACTCCCGTCGCGAAACGCCACGCCATTTTCCTTGGCCACGTACACAACGTATGCGGTGCGGAACCCGTTGTTGCGGTGCACCAGCCAACTGCCACCAGTCACAGTCAGCCTGTTTGCAATGAGCATGGCGAAGCCAAGACGGAAAGTGCTGGACACAATCTGCAGCACGCTGCCGCCATCCACCACAACGTCTCCAAACACACACGCGCCTTTGTAGTGTTCGGTACTCGGCGCACTCCACGAGCTGTTCTGTATGGAGAACATGGAGCCGCCGCCAACACGCAGGTCCGACGCAAGAGCGTACATCACGTGCGTCCTCGACATAAGGACACAGTTGTCCATGTAGAAGACGCTGGAGAGGTTCACAACAAAGCCGCGCTCCACAAAGATCGCAGCGCACGATTCCCCGCCACACAACAGCGTCGACCGCGTCATGACAAACCGCGTCGACAGAAGCCGGACGCCGTCCAGAACAAGCGCGGGGCCGTATCGAAATCCCTCGTGGCCAGGGGTCGTCGGCACGTACTGCGACCCGCCAACCGTCGCACGCAGCGTTGAGTTCGCCAGCAGCACACTCGAGTGCAGCGGCATCGCGCCACGCAGCACGATCGTGCCCTCCAGCGACGTCACATTCGTCATGTTGACGAGGGCGTGGGGCATCAGGCGCGCCGTGCTCTCGCTGAGGCCACCAATCCGCAGCTGTGCGCCGCCCGCAAGCACGCAGTGGCGCAGCGTCACGTTCAGCGCGTCAGCGAACGCATCCATCGAGCGCAGGTCCACCGCCACAGTGATCGGCCCGCTGAACACCGCCGAGTCGAAGCACGCCGTCGCACGCCCGTCGCCGAACGTCACCGACTCCGTCAGCGTCACGCCACTCATGCAGCCCCCCGCACCGCCACCACCGCCGCCGGCCCTCGCAGGCGGCACGTGGAACGGCAGGCACGCCTCGCCCACGCCGCCGGCGCGGCAGCTGCACACGCAGTCGGAGAACGACGCCGTCAGCGCATCGAAGCACGCCAGCGCTGCCGCACAGCCGTCGCACGGCACCACGCTCACGGAGGGCATGCCGGCCATGCGGTAGTCGCCGCTGCTCCGCAGCACCCGGCCGCCGGCACGGTTGCACTGCACCGACACGGCGCCGCTCGTGATCGCCAGCCCGGAGACAATCGTAGCGCCGGTGGCAGCGCAGCGAGCAATCGACACGGCGCCGCCGCCCAGCGTCACCCCCGACAGCGACGCCACCGACGACGCCTCGCCCACCGCCCACACGTCGTGCAGGTCCACCCACCCGCCGGCACCCACCGTCCCACCGTCGCAGCGCACAAGCGACGACGCAACAGACCCCTCAACGCCTACGAAGCGCAGCACCGAGTCGGAGAGCGCAAGGTGCTCGCCAAGCACAAAGCCGCCGCCGCTGCTCACAACCGACACGTTCGTCACGGATAACACCGAGTGGCTCCGCAGACTGAGACGCGTCGAGGACGCCACATGCATCGCGAACGCGGTCGCACCGCCCGACGTCTCCAGCGACACGCCGTCAAGCACCACCGCGCTCGACAGCAGGTCCACGTCGCCGCCAACGTGCACCGCCGACCCGCCCGCCTGCAACAACCTCAGCACAGTGTTGCTCACACGCAGCTGCGACTGCAACAGCGACGTCGCGTGCAGCACAAGCGGCGACGCCACCGCGTCCGTCAGCCCGCTCAGTTGGGAGTAGCGCATCGGCCCCGGCGTCACAATCGTCGAGTCACGGACCGTCACGTTCGTGTGTGCCGGCAGGTTGTGCAAAAACACGAGCGAGCAGTAGCTCCCGGACAGCCCGCTCACGCTCACCTCCAGGCTCCGGTCACTCGCCGGCTCACCGCTGTAGCCCCGCACGTAGATCTGCGCACCGCCGTCGCACACGCAGTTCCTCAGTTCGATGCGCAGCGCGCCGGGAAGCATCGCCGGCACGTCAAACACCACAGCCACGCCGTTCGTGATGTACACGCCGTCCATCAGCACCGTGTCCACGGCGCGGCCAACCGTGATGGCTCTGTCCACCGTACCGCCCCGCAGTCGCAGCACCACCGCATGCACTGCGGGCATCCACGCCGCAGCAGCAAACAGCGCCAATACAAAAACAGCACCGCCACACGCACAGCCGCAATGGCCCTGCGCTGCACACGGTGCCGGCTGCGCGGACACGCACCCACCGCAGACCACATCCACCAACCCAAACAGGTACCAACAGGGCTGTCGTGGTGTGTCGCTCTCGTCCCGTCGACCGTGCCTCCTGTTTAGCAAATCCCTTCCTACAGATGGCGAATCAAGAAACACGATTCCGCCAGATCGTTATCCCACTACTGCTACTAGTCCCAATACAGCAATTAATTCCTAACACCTTGAAACGATAGTTGCGATGGTCAATCAAAAGTATCTCTAACTGCACGCTCAAAAAAGGAATAAGAGGCAGCAACAACAGTAAACAAACACAGTGGCACGCAGAGGCATCCGGTCATACACAATAACCATCAAATTACAGCCGTCGACACAAAGCAGCGCAGACGCAATAAAGTCAGTGACACCATCTCCCTCGCACATCCCACACAACCCCGTACAGCCACCGTGCCGAGTGGCGGAACCCCGGCAAAAAGCCACATGACCACTGGCACCCCCCCTGTTACCGAATGGCTGCATCACAGAGCGGTCCCGATGCCGTGCACAACACACAAGAGCCGAGGCAGACCATGTGGCAGCGTTACAACCGCCAGCCATCAAACGCGTCCGAAAGGTGTTGGTGTTGGTGGTGCGTAAGTGGGGTGGAGAGCTCGCCGGTCGCCAGCAGTCAAAGCATCGTTTCTCGTTCACGCGAGTCGGCATTGTGCAGCAAGCAGCGGCACCAGGCGCGCACGGCATCGCACAAAGAAGGAAACACAAAGAAGCACGGCGGCGGCACTCAAACACGGGGAAAACGGTCCATGCCGATTGCACAGTCTGATTGGCCCACAGAGATCCGGATGGTAGTCGTGCAGATGCCGCGCGGCGGTTGTGACCGCAGTGGACTGAGAGGACGAAGAGAGGGGACAGAGACGCAGTGCGGCCCTCATCCATCTCGGTTAACTGTGACACCGGTGACGTATTCCCGTCAGACCGCCTGCAGCAAAGACCGTCACCGTCAGCGGCGGTCAGCGCCTTTCCTCTCCCACTGGGGCGCAACTCCACCGACGCAGCCGCTCGCTCACTCCCGCACCAACACAACGAGGGAGCAACGGCAAAAGATGCCACAAGTGCGAAGAGCACGCAGCCGCAGATCCCCACTGCAGCCGCCATGGCCAAAAAAAGTGGGTTGCTCAGCGCAAGCACAATTAAAATACAACAAGCGCTCCAACAAACATTGCAATACGACGAGGAGGCGCCGCAACCCACACAAAAAACGCAACACCGTGCAGCGGGCGTTACTTCTTTTACATTGACTTTTTTCAAATGAATCCCATGGCCCGCACGCCAGCCACCACCGTCAAGCACATCCGCCCAGTAAGTAGAGATGTGAAGGAGAGCCCCGTTACGTGGAGAGGGAGTTGCGGCGGAGGGAGTGAAACACACGTCTGCTATGCATCCTCCCTCGGGCTGGCGCGGTTGCTCAATAATCCGTTGTTGCCAAGAACCAATGAAACAAAAAAGCAATAATTCCGTAAACCTGGCAGTCAATAAATTAAGAAAAGAGCAAAGGGTCTTCCACGAGCATCGACGTTATGCTGCACCTACCAAGGGCTTCGCGCCTTCCCGCTGCGCGGAAAGATTGCTGGGAGAGAACATTTACACGCCGAGAAGAAACTGCGCCAACCTCTTGGTGAAGCACAGTTTCCTCACTTCTACAGTGTTCACCTCTCTTTTTTTTCTACGATTGCCTGAAGAGCCGGGCAGCGGAGTAAATGCGGACTTGTTTCATCGCACAGTTCACGTTGGCCGATTTTCACTATGTCCGGTCGACACCCATGGCGTGTCGTGCGGCGGTGGATCAATCCGTCACTGCTGTGGCGCTAAAAGCCGCATGCCGGATGGCAAAATTCAACCGGTGGTGATCTTATCGGGGCGTCGTCCGCTTTCTCGGCGGTCTGACTCTCGGCCGTCATCGGTTCGGCGACGGTGGGACGTTGGTAAATGGATGTGTGTACCATTTTGGGGACACGTCGCACTTTTCCTCGGTGGCATTCTCCTGCGCGTAGGAGGAAATCTCCTTCAAAGGCAAAGTCTCTGTGTAAGTTTTTTTTTTCTTGTTAATCTGGGGGTCGCCCGATATGCGCTCAGCAACAACAAGGGAATGACGACCTGAACTCATGTGACTTGAGTTGGGGTTCTCATCGGGCTCTCTCCGCACAGGGCGCGGGGAGAAACCAAAACTCACCTCGTCCAACCAGAAACCCTGACAGCAGTCAACTTCCCTCCGCCGTAAAAATGCCGTCCTACTCATCCCCCTCCCCCATTCTACATATCTTCCAAAGCAAAAGCACAAAAAAACGGAATTAGAGGAGAATACAAAAAAAGAAAGCCAAAAACATCCCCGCGTTCAAAGAATGAACGCAAAAAACGCATAGAAACGGCACAACTTTCCTTCTCTCTTTCGATTTCGCTCAAACCCTCCCTGCCGACACAGATACACCTCGTTGAGCACCGTCTTTTTTACACACCCAACAAGATGAAATGCTTAAGATAATTTCATCGCCAATCATTCACCCCACCACAAACTTTTCAGCACGAACGCAGACAAAATAACAGAAAAAAAAAAAAAAACTTCACAAAAGAACAAAAAAAAAAAAAGGATGTGAAGCAGTCAAATGTCGCGGTTAGTAACCCGTAATAAATTTAATGGCCTCGTAAACCTTTAGTTCGTTTGGTAGGTACAGTTGCTCGTTCAGAGGATGGGGAGTATCAAGACAGCAAACGCGCATGGGTGGAGCCTCCAAAGAGAGGAAACAATCCTGTGTGATGCAAGAAACAATCTCCGAGCCAATCCCGCTTGTCTTGGGAGCCTCATGAGTCACAATTACTCGACCTGTTTTCCGTACAGACTGTGTCACCATTTCACGATCCCACGGCTTTAAAGAGCGGAGATCAATGAGTTCCACCGAGATGCCTTCCTGAGCGGCGCGCTCGGCGGCCTTCATTGCCACACCCACCTGTGCGCCATACGTAACAATCGTTACATCCCTCCCCTCGCACAGAATTTTTCCCTTACCGAGAGGAATCGTGTAATATCCAGGGTCCACTGGCTCCACCATGGAGCGATAAAGGCGTTTGGGTTCAAAAAAGATGCACGGGTCCTCCTCTTCTACACACTGCAGCAGCAAACCCTTTGCGTCCGACGGTGTGGATGGCATTACAATCTTTATGCCCGCGCAGTGGTTAAAAAACCCCTCCACACTCTGCGAATGGTAAAGCCCCCCATGTCCGACGGCAGAGCTCGGTGACCGGATGACGAGACCCCCGCAGTGAAAGTGGCCACCGGAGCGAAACCGCATCTTCGCCGCCTCATTTACAATCTGATCAAAAGCTGGAAATATGTAATCGGCAAACTGTACCTCCGCTATGGGCTTCCACCCAGCAGAGGCCATTCCAATGGCAAACCCCACAAGCCCTTGCTCACTCAGTGGAGAATCAAACACCCGCTGTGAGCCATACTTCTTCGACAGATTGAGTGTGCATCGAAAAACACCCCCAAAGGCAACATCTTCTCCAAATACAACCGTTTTTTCGTCTTTGGAGAGCGCCAGGTCGAGCGCGGAATTAATGGCCTGAAGGAAATTCATCTCCACAGCTCCCGGTGCATCAGCGTGCTCCCTCGCTTGCGAAGCAGAAACGGCCGTCATCTGCAGACGTCGAGCACTTGCAACAGAAGAGAAAAAGGACGATAATGGGGATACGACGTGCGTAACCCCAATTCGCCGCAGCATACTGACCCCTTGCCCGCTAGTTAACAGTGGAAGACGCGTAGGCACTGATAGCAACGGCCATATTAAACGTCATGCAACAAAAAAAATAAACGGAATATATATATATATATATATAGAGAGAGAGAAGGGAAAAAAAAAAGGTTCAAAAAAATAAAAAACAAATAAAAACGCATCCTCACAACGTACCAAAAGGACAGTCGCCCTCCAACAATCAAAAAGACCTTGCCAATCTTCCACCACTACCAACACCACACACACACACAAAAAAAAAAAAGAAAACCGATAGCCGAACACTCTACCAATGGGAGAAATTTACCTCAGACAAGATGTAGTGTGCCCGTGGGATTTGAACCACATTGTAAAGATCCGTTTTGCACGACGAATGAACAAAACACGTCCCAGATCGCGGTGGTGAAGCATCCCGAAGTGAAACGGCCCCATCACCCAGTGAGCTCTCTGCCCCCGTGGCCACAGACACCGAGACGCCCACCTGCACCATAGACGGTGACGAATGCGACGATGACCGCGCGTTAAAATCGCCTTGCAGAATTTCCTCCTTCAACTCAACAACAGTGGGGGAATTGGAACCTTCCTTCTCTCCATCATCCGCCTCCTGCAGCAAAGCCGATTTGCCATAGGCAAGCTGTTGCAAGGAAATCATTTGCTCTATTTTTGCACCAACGTCGCTGCCTTGTCCACCTGCGGGTTGCGCCACCGTGTCTCCAACGTACGGCTCGGGCGGTGTGGAAGGTTCACGAGAAAAATTTCCTTCCTGCTGCTTTGGTGCATCTCGATCAAATATCTGCCGTGCGTACGCCTCCTCATCCAATGGTAAAGATGGCACTGATGAATTTGTCTCCCGCCGCAGACATCTTTTTCGTGTCGCAGAGCCTTTTCCTGAATACACGGTCGCCGCCGTGTTAGTGTCATTCCGCAATGTTTCCTCTTGACGACACATGACATGGGTCCTTGCTGCAAGGGACTCTATCTCTAAAAATATTGCGTCGCTGGCTAACCAGGCTGCAATCTCCTCCAATTCTTTGCGGGGGAAATCGGCTTCCGTCGCCTCGTTAGAAATTGGAATTGATGCACGTGGGAGTGTCCTCCGAGAGGCATCATAAAATTCCCTATTCTTCCTCGGCGACCGTCGCACCGGACTCCCCGCAGTAATAAAGTGCTGGTCCTTGTATGGATACACAGATAACCGGCGAGTCGTGTGTGGTACACGTTTTATTCTTGTATTTTCACGAGGGTGATTGCCGGCTCGCATTTAATAAATTTGACTCTGCCTATCCTCCTTGAAGCTGTAATCCCATCCCCCACACTGTAGCCACAGACACACGCACAAAGAAAAAAAAAACACAAGGAAAACACGGTACGCACTTCTTCAATGCACCCAGCTGAAAAAGAAAAAAAAAACAGATAGAGCCCGTGATGTTCCCCATACACACATGCACAAATTATTAACAATAATAATAAAGGATGCCCGGCATCACACAATGAACTTTACATAAAGTACCAACAACAACTAAAAAGACCCTGCATTGCAGTTGAATGGTAATGGCTCAATAAAGTTAATCATCAAAAGCCCGATCGAAACTCTTTATTCTGACGGACCGTAAGACGATTGATAGCGCCAAGTTCCTGCTGTGACCAGTGTTTCTCCTCCATGTCCGAGGTACCCTTGGCAAGGAGCAGCAGCTCGTTATTGCGTCTTCGCTCCTCCGCTTTCAGGGCAAAAAACTCCGTACGCCTGTCCTTTCGTTTTTGCTTCAAGGCGTCGCACAGCAAGAGAGCCCGTCTTGCATCTTCCTCATTCTTGTTCGACTTCAACCGCGCAGCCTCCTGTTGTTTGCTCTTCATCTCCTCATCCCTCGCGCGGCGCGTGTTTTGACGCCAGTTTGCGCAAAGGACACTAAGAGCCTCTACCTTTTCACGTTCTTTTTGCCGCAAAGCACCGAAATGAGCCCGTCGCTCCTCTTCCAGCTGAGCACTTTCTTCCTTCGCTTGGCGAAGCTTTTCCCTTAGCATGGAAATACCCATTCCACCATACATGGAGTCTTCTAGATTCTCCTTCTGCAACCGAATATTCCTTTCCTGAATTTCGGCCTGTCGCTGACGATTGCGCTCCCGCAACTGACGAATTTCTTGAATGAGAATGATGCGCTGCGTTTGTATTCGTTCCTCCTCTTCGAGTGCATCTTCTCTGAGTCGCATGTTCTCTGCCTTGGCATTTGCTGCGGCGGTGAGACGATCCCGCTGTGCCTGTTCGACGGCCTTCCTTCGGTTTACTTCCAACTCCCGACGCATCTTGGCTGTTTGGTTGCGTTGTCTCGCAGCTTCGCAATCCCTCTCCGCAGAAAAAGACTCCAACTGTGAGGCGATGTCAGCACGCACCTGAGAGGACACCATGCGTTTCATTTCCTCAACGGCTTTTCGTTTCTGCACAGCGTTATGACTGGCAAATTCAATTTGCGCCTTACGATTCAAAAGCTCAGCCTCACGCTGTTGGGTCTCCCGTGCCTTTTCTTGACGTTGCCAGACCTCGAATTCCTGGGAATTACGCAGCACTGCCTCCATCTCCCCAAGGGATTTCTTCCGTTCCTCCATCCGCTTCAGGTACGTCTGTGCCTCTCTGCGAATTGCACCTGCCGTCATATGTACGGTAACCGGTTTGTAAAGCATCTGCCGCCACTCTTTCCGTGTGGGTTTGGGAGACTCGGCCTGGCACGCGGGCTGTTCTACCGTATTTGCTTTTTGCCGCCTTTCTCGTGTCAAAAAACTAAAGCCGATGGGTTCAGTAGGACTGCACCCGCTTTTGGCAACAATGTCCGGTGCCTTTGTGAAGTCGATACGTGGGGGTCGTTTTTCAGGGATTGTATGCAGCATTGCCCGTACCTCTGCTGGGGGAACTTTTCCCGGACGTTCGTCCAGGTCATTCTTCACCCGCGGCGCGTGCGCTGCCACGGTTCGCGTCGTTGGTATATTGACATCTTCCGTCTCATCGTCTCTCACAACCCGGGCAGCTGTTTTATCTAATAACCACTGAATGACGTCCTTCCGTACGTGTGGAGTAATCTCCAACAAGGGCCTGAGGATCGTACTCGTGATAAAGTTCATATCGTAATGCTTGTTCCAGTATGGGCTGGAGTATTCCATGAGGCTCTGTGGATTCAGCATGTACTCCAGATACTCTAAAAGGCGCGGTGTGGTTGTGCAACGATAAAGAAGTTCACGTATGCGATGGCCGCCCAAGACGGTGTACTGAAAAACCATCAAATATGCTGCAATATACATGGAAGTTTTATCTCTCAAAATGCGTCGCAGACAATCCGCGTACCCGTTCAAAATGCCCTCACAGACCTTTTCAAAATGCAGGGTACCCAAGACGGTTTCACGAACCAGCACTCGCTCCTCCTCGTCAAGTGCAGTGCAATTCTCTAACGTTTCCTCAAGAATCAACTCGGGTGAATTTATCAAAGAGTCTTGAAGCGATCGAGAGACCATCTCGGTCATCAGCTTCCATATATCCCGCGGCTTCATTCACCCTTACCAAAAATGAATAATGATGCTTCCTATAAATAAAACAAGTAGCCGTAAAAGAAAAAGATAAATATGCAATTTTATTTATTTATTTATATTACATGTGATACTCGCACATTAGAAAGTAAAGAAAAAAAAAAAAAAAAAAAGAATATTCCCCAGAGAATTCCCTCATGTTGTCCCCTCCGCGAACTATCAAACGTCCCGAGAGAACAACAACAACAACGAAAAAATAGACAAGGTCAAGTATGTCTTCTGAAATATAGATAGATATAGATAGATCATTGCTTACAACCCCCTCAACCCCCTCAACCCTCCTGTTTTCATTTCATTCCACTCCTTCTTACAGGCGCCCGCCATGAACGTCTGCTGACCCCTCGCCACCAGTTGCGTTGGCGTTGAGAGTCAGGCCACTGCTGTCCAGGTAAAACGTGCCAGCCCCGTTCTTCCTCACCATTTTAGCAATTGCACGTGACGCCTCCAGGCTGCGTAAAGTAATAAAGGCTGGATTCTTTTGCACCGCGTCACCAATAAGCTTAGCCGCCTCCGCCTCACCTTCCGCAAGTAGAATTGCACCCTTCTTCTCTTGCTCCGCCTGCTCCACACGCCACTTGGCCCGCTCTGCCATCTGTTGCGCCACTTGTTTAGCCTCCACGGCGCTGGTGTACTCCTTCCCAAAGCTCATCTGGGTGATCGACACGTCTGTGATGTCCACGTAAAATCGCTTCGCACGCTCCGCCAGCATAACAGCGATGCGGTGACTCACTTCAGGACGCTTCACAAGAAGATCGGAGGCGTTAAATTGCGCTATAACCGCACGGATAATCTCATTGACAAGAGACGGCAACACAATCTCTGCGTATTCCATGCCCAGGTTACGGTAGACGTGTGATAAGTTGTTGACACTCGGCTGGTAGAGGACACGAACCGCCAAATTAACAGTCTGCAAATCGCGACTCCCTGTTGCCGTCATCACCTCCGTGGGTTTGTTACGGATGTCAAACACAACCGGTGTTTCAAGAAAAGGAATAGCAAAGTTTGCCCCCTCCCCATACGTCTTATCCTTCATGCCCGTAATGGCGTTAAACTTCACCGCACGACACCCACCGTCCACGAAGTAAACAGACTTGTAGAGCCCCGTCCCGACAATACCGGTAAAACCGACGAGAGCCAAAAGGCCGGTAACATCACCAAAGCTACCCAAGCGCTTCCGCACTTCCGCTGCAACGCGAGAGAAGTCGGGTCCGGGTGGTGCCTTCGCCATCACTTGTAAAAATAATAATAATAATAATAATAATAATAATAAATAATTTAGTAATTATGTGTGTTTGTATGTCTTTTTTGACACACTGTCGTGCTCCCTATTTTATGTGCTCTTCCCGCTAAGACAAGAGGGGAGGAAGCGAAAGTACAAATATATGCCATATATACAGGGGAGGGAATAACAACGCATACGTACAACCAGATAAACACAAACACATAAGGTTATATAAAGAAATCAAGAGAGGGGCTTAACACAAAAACACACGCACTCTAAAATAACTATGAGCATACACATAGTAAGAATAATAAGAATAATAAAAAATTCAGCCACCAAAAATGTACATACAGAAAAGAGATAACCGTTAGCGAATACAGCTCTCGGACGTAGAAGAGAAAACACCCCTAATAGCATGTTAGATGCCGTTTATTTGCGTAGGTGAGGACTGAGAAACACGTCTCGCAACACTGCATGGCATTTTTTGATCCGCTTGAAGTACAGAGAACCCCAGGTCAATCCCCAGATCCACTGTACGGTGGCGGCCACCAAGCATCACAGCAGCGACGACCAGTTTACTAAACATTCCGAGAGAACCAACAAAAGATACTCTCGTCCCTGGAATCGACAACGATAATCCACAACCCGCAAAGGCACTGATCACCTCAAAGAATGAACGTGTCATGACATCAAAACGCGAGTCCTTTAACTCCTGAGTCAGCCATCCCTCCTCCCCAAAAAGAAGACACAAAATGGCCAAAAACAAGCAAAAAAGTCGGGAGGTGAAAAGCCGCACCATGGAGGCACTAAATACCTGCTTCCATTTCCTGTACGTACGATCTGTAGGAATAGGAAGTGCAGGCAAAAACATGCAAAAAATCGTAATGGCAATATGTGCGTTGCTGTAATCCAGACATGAAATAAATGAAGCAGCAGCAAATCGCACAACAGCTGCCTGACAGACGGAAAGAAATATTTTATATGCTGTGGGAAACGGAGCGAGCAACCCATCCCCGCTCCATTGCTGAACCCAAAAAGGGATAGACTGTGCCAGGGTGATGACACACCACGCCACCCCAAGATAAAAAGTCTCGCTGCGCACAAATAAAAAGGCGTGAAATGAAACAGGGTGTTTATTTTTTAAAATGTCACGAAATCCCTTGTCCCAAGCATTCACATGCAACATATCATCCACCGCATCAAATTCGTGAGGGAGAACATCTCCCTCGCGTTCCTGTAGGCTAAAGAGAAGAGGAAAATCCTCGCTCAGTGGAGCTGCCAATGGGCTTTCAAGATCTGTGTGTGGTGACGGTAACAGTCGCCTGCGGACACGCCTCACAAGGCGAAAAGTAAACCACTCCGCGTATAAAAAACCACGCAAGACCACTGGAAACAATGTAAATCCCAGTCCACACCCTATTGTTACCGTCAGCACTACGGCGGGGTCTCTAACGTATTGCTCCATTGGTAGGAAAACAGAACCGTGAAAGGAGGCAATGGCCATTTCAACAATCTCCAGAAAACTCAAATTAGATTGATTAAATACGGCAAGAAGAAAAATAAGTGTGACGTTTACTATACCAAAGTACAATAACGGTGTCAGGAGGCAAATGACAGAGGTGTGCCAAAGTCTCTGGGCGTACTTGCGTCTTGAGGCACGCAATCTCCCTTCTAAAAACAAGTCATCACGATGTGGTTCAAGCAAAGGCCACATCTTATTAAGCATCCATATTCGCAGTAGCGGCTGATGGGCACTGGTAAAAACCATCCCTCCTCCAATCATAAGGAAGTGTCGCAAAATATTTGTGCTCTTCTTCCATGTCGCAACATCAACAGTCTGCAACCCACAACAACAGACAGAAGAAATGGCGATAAAGAATGCGTCAATGTACGCAAGCTCGTCCTCCATCACGTAAAATAAAAGGGAACCAATGCATGCAATAGAAAATATATAAGTTACATGCATCAATAAATACCATTTCTTAAAGAAATTGATTCTTCTTGCTATGGAATCCTGTGTGGTCGAAAGAGGCAATACAACGGGGCCCGCGTATTCAAGCAGCTGCGAACTGCGTGTGGCCCCCTCAGCATTATTATCCAACGTTACGTACGGCTCATCAGGGGAATTTGTGTCGTTTACCGCAAACCGACTGCGTAAGGCAGAAGCCACACGGTCAGCAGACGGTACGCGTTGCATCCGCACACCCCCAGTTTCTTTGGAGATGTGCGCCGTTTCTCCCTCCTCCAAATTGGCTGACTACGCGCAAAGGTTTACCCCCTCGGCTACTAAATTAGACAATTTAGCCTCAGAAAAGAACAACAACAACAAAAAATTTAGATTAAAAAAAAAAAAAAAGAAACAAAAAGAGATATTGTAAAAGGGAAAAAAAATACATGTAACGTATGCACACATGGCGTTATTTCCCTCAAGTGGGACTCCAATTGTCTTTCCCTCCTCCTGGATCCAATCATAACCGAAAGGCATTACCGGGAGGAAACTCCACCGGAACAAGTCACAGAAAATAAAATAAATAACTAGGCATAAAGTATACATACCATCTCATAGGTTCCATGTATTGTAAACCTATTCATGTTCAAGAGAACTACCGTACATATCGCAAAGTGAAGGAACGTAGTAATGGTCCCCATTCACTTTCTGTTTGAGTTGAGACCCACGAGAACTCCTAAGCTGGTGAGCCTTGCTGGAACTTCGGATATCCAGCAACGGCAGGTGCAAGGCTTGTCGTTGGTTGTGGTGTGATACAGCCATTTCAGATGCCTTGTGCCGCAGGTTCGCCTCAATCACGCGCATTCTTTCAGCTGACTGTAGGTGCTTCAATTGCTGCGCGAAAAACACCTTCTGATACGATGAAAAACTCCTCTTCTCAATTTCTTGCCATTTTTCACGTACTTTTCTCTCCACCATTTGTTGTTTGTGCTCTTCAGCAGCTTTATGCTCGCACTCCTCCAATTGTGAGAAGAGCGCCTGCATTTTTGCCGCCTCGCCGTAAAGACGCGCAGATGCCAAGCATTTCTCTCTTGCCCGTGTCAATGTGAGAAGTGGAGACAACGTCATGGGTCGACGTGCCTCATCCGACACCACCCTTTCCGTGTACGCTTCCATCTCCTCTTCATGTGCTTTGCATATTTCGCTATATTTACTGTGGAGAGTCTCTCTAAACTGAAGCTCCTCCATCGTGGTAATTAAATGAGCATCCTTCAAGCAGCGCCTTGTCGCGTCCTGAAACGCCTTCCACTCAATCTCCTGCTGCTCCTGAAGTTCCTGTTTACGCCTTTGCCGCTTCTCTTCAATCCGACGCCGCCTCGCCTCCTCAGCCTCATGTGCCAGTAAGTAGTAACCCTTGGAAGCCCGCAACGTGATCTTGCGGACACTGTTAACACTATCCGACATTCCCACCTCCCCCTCTTCCATTTCCCCACTTTTATTTTAATTATTATTGTTATTGGGCCGTCCGATACAATCCAAGTCAAAAAAAAAAAAAAAAAAGCCAACGTGAAGTTGAGAACAACAACAAAAAGACACGTACGATATATATATATATATATATATATATATATATATATAAAGAGGGAATGAGTGAGAGAAAAAAAAAAACAGAGAGAGTACCGAAGCGAAGTATCAATAATAAAAATAAACATAAAAATAACAACAACAACAGCTATTACATAGTATCGTTGCTACCGCTTTCGTCTGTTGAGTCATGTCCATTGGCAAGTTATTTCAAATTCCCATTACCACCTTTGGAAGTTTGCAGAGGTCCGCGCCGCAAACACCCCGCCGATGCTCCACCAAGTTGCCAATACAGCTCCTAATACATATATAGATACAGGAAATGAGAGAGAAGAAAAAACTCTTCTAATTATTAATGATTCCCTCCCCTTTTCCTCAGCAACTCCCTTCTCATCCTACCCAAATCCTAATATTCCACTTCTTGGCCCGCAAAAAATCCCCACTTTTCCTCCCACTCGTCACACACCATCATTACATAAGGGCCAAAGTATGCGACGTTGTCAATAGGGTGTACCCATCGACTCTTTGGCTCATAAATGTACTTGTCACGCAGCACTCGAGCACGCATAACACGACGGTCTCCATGCACAATTTTGTCCTGTGGCGCACGAGTGCGAGCGGCGCGGTTCCACCAACCGTGGGCGTTGATGAGGTCATCCTGCAGGCAACCGTATTTGTGGTATTGTAAACCCTCATAAAAGCACATAATCTTGCTGGCGTACCATTTCCCGTATAAACCAAGATCCCGGGAGTCAGTGTAAATCAATTTCTCCCACGGGTACTCCATTTTGTATGGATGAGCATGATCAGTCACTGGCAACGCCAACAAGGCACGATAGTCAATCTTGTTTGCCTTGATAGCGCTTTGAATACGCAGGGCACGCTCTACCTTGTGGGCGTTCTGGACAGAAAGAAACTCCCGGTACATGTTAGGGTAAAAGAAGTGACCAAAGTAGTACCGAAATCCGGCCCAGATCCCCTGGGCCATGTAGCGTGGTGCCGTGGGTCTCATCATCCTTCCCTTTTTTTCTCCTTACTCACGTTGCAGACTGGCCAAAAGAGGGGGTGAGTAAAAAAAAAGAATCGGGAAAGATAGCAAAAAAAAAAAAAAAAAAAACAGAGAGCGTTAATCTATAAGTACACACTCACATAGGGAAAAGGCGAGGGAGACACGTGTGTATCCATAGAAACAAAGAAACGGAAAAAGAAAAGAATAAAAAGACAGCGGCACAAGATAATGTCTGTTCGTAACTGGAAGAGCCAGAACTGGTGCTTGCTTCCTTTTCCCTCCAGCAAATCCTTACAAAGTATCCTTAAGGTACTTGTTGACCTTGTCCAACGCCTTGCGGGCCGCCTCGCCTCCCGATTCGGAAACAAACGGAACAACATCTTGGCAAATGCTGTTTGGATTCGTTTCAAGGATAATGCCCTCGTCCACCAGCTCATCCACGGTTAATAGAACCGCATCGTACTTTCCCAACAATGTCCGCAGATTGAGGTCCGACACCTTCAACTCTTGGCGCAGGGCGTCTACAAGGCCGCGGAGAACACTGTGAAGCACTAATTCATTCTCACTACCATCGCCGATTACAACAAATGTAATGTCTTCACATACATGCAGCAATACAGTGTGGCCTCCGTGAATCATGACGTCACCATCCATGGAGTTGCTGCAACCGCGTTTCGGATCTCGAGCCGCGGCATGAATGCCCAATTCCAACGCCCGCTGTTTATCCATCGTATTCAGCACACCAGCAGTTTGCATCTCTGCATTGATGTAGTACTTGGCGAAGACGCGGCCACCTAGTTCGTTGAGAACAACAATCCCCTGAACATGATGCAGGAAGTCCATTATCTAGACCCTTATCTGCTGTGTTTTTTTTTTTTTTCTTTTTCTTTTCGTTTGATTCTTCTCGTTGTTAATTTTTTTTCTCTTCTTTTCTGTTTACTGTGCCTTTGTTTTTGTTTCCCCCTTTTTATTTAAGGCCGAGGCTCCATGTTGTTATCCCGCGCCACCAGCGCACAGACGGCAGAAAAAATAGCGAAAATGAGCATATATATATATAGAGAGAGAGAGAAAGAGAAAGAGTGCACAGCACCCACTCATTTAATCCTTTAAGAAGATTTAACGGGGACAACGCCAAAAATGCCAAAAATATTTTTAAAAGGAATCAGCTCGCAAAGTACATTCTACTGGAAACGTCTCGCACGATCCACTCCATCCCTTCTAGTAATCCATCACCCGTCTTTGCACTGCATGCGCACAGCTGAACGTGCCGCTTCCCCTTTTTAATCGTGTCAATGTCTAAATGTTGTGCAATGTTTACTGGAGATAGTGCCGCAGGTAAGTCCTGCTTATTTAAAAATACCAATAGGCTTGCACCGGCTAACCGCTCCTCTTGTAAGAGGGCATGAAGCTCCTTCCTGCAGTCCTCCAGCCGTGCCAAATCGTTGCTATCCACCACCCAAATCAAGCCGTCTGTACTCTCAAAATAATTTCTCCAGTAGCTTCGCAACGATTGCTGGCCTCCAACGTCCCATATGTTCAGCGTACAGCCATGAAGAGAGAAGGCGGTGATCTGAAACCCAAGCGTGGGACTAATAGAGCTTGTGTCCTTTCCGCAAAATTTCTTAATACACGTCGTCTTCCCTGCGTTATCCAGGCCAAGCATCAGGATGCGCATTTCACGTTCCTTCCGCTTTGTTTTACGGATTATGGACAGCAACCCCATCTATTTAAAGCCTACACAAAAAGCTAAAGTCAGCAAAAAAAAAAAAAAAAAGCCGCGCAAAAACGCAATTTTCAGCCAACTCTGATGAAACAAGGAAAAGCACATCTCAATTCAACAACAACAACAACAACAAATAAAATAAAATGAAATGAAATCAGTGTATTTCCTTCTCTTTCCTAAAGCAATACATTACTTACAAAGAACGCCTAACACCCAGAGTTTGTGCTGTCAATTCCTCATATTATAATTCCTAACATCATTTTGCCCTACCACCAAGCGGCAAGACGAATACGCTCGTCGTACCACTCCACATTCTTGTGAAATGTGTGCATAAATATAAAAACGGGAAGCATCGCAAGAACGTAGAATTGAAGCATGTTGTAAACCCATGTTCCCCAGCGTGTCCCAAGAGAGAAGTAGGTACGCACCACCATGAAGTCCGTGTAACGCTGCTCCACACCGGCAAGATCCCAGTTCTTGTTGAATTCACGCTTGTGGTACTTGCTCTCCACTGTTTCATACTCAAGACGACGTTTCTGCTCGGTACGTCCCCAGCCGTACAGCATGGGGCCGGGCCGTGCTGGCCCCTTATTCTGCATCTGTTTCCAAACAATGGAGCGGCGTAACATGGTGATTGTGTCCTACTGAGAACCTTATACTATTAAAAAAAAAAAAAAAAAAAGAGTTATATAAATATCAATATACGTGACAGAATAATAATAAAAATAGTACCAAGGTGCTTTCATGGGCGTGCCGGCACAGCCGTACAAATAGCCAAAAAATAAACCCAAACCGGATCAGAAAAACCGACAATTAAGAAAAGACTTATACAACAAAGCGACGAAGAGGCATATGATGACGATGGTATCGGTGTCCGTCGTTGTCTCTCCCTCCCTGACCAGGAAGAGACCCTCCGAATGCCAAGAACAATGCGAATGTAAATCCAAATGGAACAGATGACTTGAAGGTCGTTCTAAGAACGCCCTCCAGAAAAAAGGGAAGACCCATTGTTCGCAACATATTTTTCATCACACCTCCCGCTTCCCTAAAAATTGCAGCTTCCCCTGCTAAAAAAGCTGAAAAGTTACACACGCCACCAGCGCGCTCCCTGCTGTGCAACGCCGACCGAAAAGTATTGCGTATTGGGTTTGTGGCAAATGTTAAAAGAGCATGAACACGAAAGGCGTCCCACCATGCCTCAAAAAAGCCGTCATGTCTCGAACCTTGTAGTGCAACCAACGACGCGCCGTGCCATAACGTTGAAATAAGGGCAGTGGCGGAAGCTCCAGAAAAAAAAGATAGAATTCCATACTGCTTGGTGCTCGCCTGTAAGCAGTGAAGAAGAGATTTATAGACCACTCCATCGTACCTGCTGCGTGGGCCACCAACACGACGAGCAACGGTGCGAACAGCTACCTTACCCATTCCATGAAGCGTTCCAGCGACGAGCGCACCCGTCAGCACACCCGAACCAAGAGCAAACCCGCCATAGAGAAGACCCCATGGAAAGGCAAGAATTAAAGGCTGAGATGGATTTAAAATCATCCCCTTATACCGCACCCAAGAGTATTGAATTGGGTCCAGACGAGTAATAGGATTAATGCTAAAAATTTTCGTTAAGTCCCGGTAGGGATACAAAACAAATATAGACATGCAACTCGCCCCATACCCCACAGCAGCCGTCGTCACGCTATCTAACATCCTCACCTTTAAGACCCTAGCTTGAATTTTCTTGCTGACATTATCACCATAAAATTTGTTAGATATTATTAGGAATGATAACAATGAATCAAAAAAACAGGCATACACACAAAACAAAAAAAAAAAAAAAAAAAAAAAATGTTGCACACTGTTAAAATGGATCTCGCTAATGATACA